TCTTACTATATCTCGCTCCTGTCTTCATTCTTTCCTGAGGCATTCTTTTTCTTGAGGCAAGTTAGCTTTTGTGCCAAATAGCATCTAGATTCCTTTTTACATTAATACTGGCTTATTTGGCTTTATTAAATACCTATAGGGTTCACTGCTATTGCATTGCATTTACATATGTCATAAACATGCATAAAACACACATTAGGTAGACCATAGCCAGACTAGGCTGATTTGCCTGTCTTTTGTGCCTTTTAGTAGGAATGAGAGGTCTGGCCTATGATTGGAACCAATAACTCTTGTTTATCTTGCAGTCATTTTATCAACCTTTTTTTCCCATCTGACCAGCCAAAGAAAAGTTAGCATTACTATACCAAGGATAAAGGAAGGGAAAAAATTATATTGCTGATAATTCTGGGAGAAGCCATATTTTCAATACCTTATTTTCCAATTATGAGGATTACTGAAGTAGCCAGGTGGTAAACAAAAAGTATTCTTTAAGTGCAGAAAGGGTTGACAAGAGTATAGGCCTTGCTTATAGTAATTGTAAATTTGTATTGAATAGATTTGTTCAAATAACTTGATTAAAAAAAAAAGATTGTGATATATTGGGTGTCCACTTACCCAATATATCACAGGGATGTGTGGGGTTCCACTTAACCAGAAACAGAATGTAATTGGGGGTGTAAACCAATATTTATACTCTGACCAGATTTTTCTTTTTCTGTTAGCATCTATTGTGTTTATCATCTGGACAACCATGAAGTTCAGGATAGTGACTTGTCAGTCGGTGAGTTGTAAACACACGCATTTATGAATAGTTTACTGTTTTTATACATAGATAGCAATGTTGATGACAATGGTAAGGTTTGCACCTTACCAGAAATTAGGGCTAGGGCTCCACTCTCGAGAAATTTAGGATGCATCCTTCCTCCTAAGTATTCTATATTTCTATATTACTGTGGTTCTTGATGTGGTAGGGTTTTTTGCTTTATTTTGTTTTTGGGGTGGGGGATCTGAGTATATATTCCAATAGTGGGAAAGAATTTTGTAAGTGATAACTACGGTCTGTCATAACCCAATCTTGTCCTACTAAATTCTTTAAAAATCCAGAGTCCTAAACATTAAATGTGTGAATAATGCTAATCTGAATATAAGTCATGCCCCTAAGATCTTAGCACAAAGATTGTGGCCAGTAGCATTTCTAGAATACCTACAGCTCCATTTTGGTCAAAAATAAATGAATTAAAATGAAAATTATAAAACATAACAATCTAATGTTACTTTCTCTTACTTTGTGTAGGTACCCTTCCCCAAAGATTTTCAGAGCTATAATGAAGCACTCCCAGGTGCTTTGTTCAGTTAGTCCCTTTTCTTTATCAACAGTAAATACTACAGTGGGACAAAACTGTTTCTGCATGTTGTATCCCCAGCACTTAGCTCAGTATCTAGCACACAGCAGGCTCTTAGCAAATACAAGTTGAATTAATAAATAAGTGATTCTTGTTCTATGCCATAGGGCTTGTGACCAACGGGATAAGATAATGTAATAAATGTACTTTTTCCCCTTTTGGTAGGATTGGCGGGAACTGTGGGTGGATGATGCCATCTGGCGGTTGCTGTTCTCCATGATCCTCTTTGTCATCATGGTTCTCTGGAGACCATCTGCAAACAACCAGAGGTTCTTGGACATTTCTTATTGACACTGCTAACTGTTGAGTGACCATGTTATCAAATAAGGGTGGTTCAGTGGGAGTCAGTGTTTGGGCCATGGCATAAGGTGGGAAGAACACTCACTAGGTCAGGAATCAGTACAATTAGGTTCCTGTCTCAGCTCTCCTATTAATTTGCATTGTGATTTTTGTCATGGGCTTCTTTTCACCAACCTGGGCCTTAGTTTCCTCTTTGAATAATGACAGGAAATTGAACCAACTGATACGAAGTCCCTTCTGTTTCCTACATCTGATAATATGAGTATTTGGGAAAATTAGGGAGGTAGGTAGATTTGATGCTCTTAATGCGAGTTACACCTGCCTAGTATCCAGAAGGAAAGAACAATTTCTATAGTCAGTAGCCCAGTATGCTTCATAACAATAGAGAAGATAAATGAAAACTTACGTGAATTAAAAATCATGTGCTAATTTATTTTGTCCAACTATAGGCAGTTCTGAATTATTTAGGAATTGGCTGTCTTTATTTTTGTGACTATTTGTGCCTTTGTTTTCCTTCTTTTTTTTTCTCCCTTTTGTGCATTTAGACAGTTAAGAGCATGTATTACACAACCACAGCACCAAAAAAGGAAAAGGATGAGATGGTACAGCTAAGCAGCTAATTTTGTAATCATACATTCTAGTAAAAGACTTAGAAAATAAATGACATTCTTTTGCCCCATGAAAACAACCTTGTTTTTTCATACTATTAATTTAACATATGTGTTCCTTGGGAAAAAAGTTAAAAAAGAATCTTATGAAAGAAAATAAAGGAGATGTGAACTCATGCCATTCAGAAGGAGCCTAGACATTCTTACGATCCTCCTTTACATCGATCTGTTGATCTGCTCACTTGTGGGCAAAAGTAGGTTTATGGTTGTGAGTACATGAAACACAGGGGTTTATTCTTGTATTATTTATTAATTATTGTATTGTATACATATTAAACTATAAACCTACTTTTGCCCACCCCTGTATAAAATTTGTCCCTTTCTTCAGTCTTATAAATGTTTTGCTTTACCTCTCCTTTTCTTTTTTTCTCTCGTCTAACTTTGTGCCCACCCCCATAACTCTGTATTACCAGCCTAATGTGATATGTGCTTCCACAGTTTACTCCCTGTTTAAATATGGAGTATTCTTTTGCTCAATAGTGTATTGGTGAAATGCTTTCCAAGACAACTGGTTTAAATTAAACTTAACTATTTTCACAGATGGCATAATTTTACATGATACAAATGTAGTACAGTTGATTAACTTATTTCTCCATTGATGAGCATTTGGACTGTTTCCAGTTGGGGTGGTTAAGGGTCCCAAACCACCCATAGGTTTAGGAGGACTTATGGGACTCAGCATATAGTTTTAGTTGTACTTAGAGTAAAGGTTTTTTTTTATAGCAAAATGATCCGATTAAGAAAAAGACACAGGTGAAATCTAGGAAAATCCATATTTTTTTCCCCTCCTCTGAGGAAGTACACCAAGCGTGCCCTTTTCCTCAGCAACAGAAAGTATACTAGCAATGTTTCTGCTCAGGGAAGCCCATTAGACATTCAGTACTCAGGTTTTTGGGGGGCTTGACACATAAGAACTCTCTACTTAATGTGGACCAAAATTCTGCGTTCCTAGAAGGTAAGCAAAGTTTATTAGAGATTGTATTGTACAGATAGTCTAGGCATAGTGATCCACCTTTATCTGTTAGGGAACAGGTCAAGTGCCAGGTTCCCAGATACCAGCTATGGGACATCCTTATAGGTATCCCTCTCTAAAGGCTTGCTATGTACCTCTTATGCATAGGCGGCATTAAAAATAAGAGTAAGCTACAATGATGTGTTAAGTACTCTTGTATATGTCTATTCTTATGCACTTGAGTAGTCAGTCCCTTGCCCCACTTTTTTTCCCCCATCACACTTACTATCTGTAACTATTAACTATAACTAGAGTTTGTTGATTATCTTGGAACATTTTTATGGTGTTCTTGGTTATAGAAAAACTTAAATATAGAGTCAGATTTGTCTCTTCTTTTCCATGAGTTGTATATTTTCTGTCTTGTTTAAGACATCCTTTCCTAGCTTGACGAAAAGTCATAGTGTTATTTTATAATTTTTTAAAAATTTCAAAATTGAGATTCCATTGATCAAGAATTGAATACTTCTGGTCAAGATGGAGGCATAGGTAAACACGCTTCATGTCCTTGCACAGCCATGAGAAGGATCACAACTAACCTCAAAACAAAAACTCGCAGAGCTGCCAGAAAATCAATCTGTATGGAAGTCCGACACCCAATGATGGGAAGAAATATTCATCCAGATGGGTAGGAGGGACAGAGAGGACATGGTGTGGTGGTGTCAAGGCGGCCAGTGGACCAGGCAGTTCCATATTCACGTGTGGTGGATGAAATCTGGAGGGATACTTTGGGAGCGAGCAATCCCAGACCCAGGCTAGACTGGGGAGCCCAGGGTTCCAGCGCGGACAAAATAAAGCCTCATAAATGCTGGTTGTAAAAACCAGCGGGGATTGGGGTGGCAGGAGAAACTGCTGGTCTCTCGGGAGAGGCCTTTAAAAGGGTCCACAAGGTCCTGGGATGAATGCAAACCCACCCACTCTGGGAACCACCACCAGGGCAGCAGCTAGAGGGGTGCTAGTAACGTGGGAAGGGGGTGAAACAGGGCAAATGCTGAGCAAGCCTCAGTGGCATTGCCCCCTCTCTGATCCCTCCCCAGCATACAGAGCCACAGAGTGGTGAAGCGGATTGCCTCACCCTGGTGAATACCTAAGACTCCACCCCTATACAACTTAACAGGTGTGCTAAGACGGAGTCAAAACAGCTCTACCTAATACACAGAAACAAACACAGGAAAGCTGCCAAATTCAGTAGACAAAGAAATATGGCCCAAATGAAAGAACAAAACAAAACTCAGAAAAAGGACTAAGCAAAATGGAGATAGCCAACATATGAGATGCAGAGTTCAAAACATTGGTGATAAAGATGCTCAGAGAAACCATTGAGTACAGTAAAAGTATAAGGGAAGAAATGAAGGCTACACTAAGTGAAGTAAAGGAAAATCCATAGGGAACAACAGTGAAGGGAAAGAAGCAGGGTTCAAATAAACAATTTGGAACATAAGAAATAAACAACCAGAACAGAATGAAGAAACAAGGATTCAAAAAAAATGAGGAGAGTATAAAAAGACTCTGGGATATCTCCAAATGTACCAACATTTGAATCATAGGGATGCCAGAAGGAGAAGAGGAAGAGCAAGAAATTGAAAACTTACTTGAAAAAATAATGAAAGAAAACTTCCCATCGATTCTTGGCCTTTTGGCTAAGATCAGATGTAGTATCTCTTCTTACCATTTTAGTATCTGATATGTCCTCTATCCAAGAACATTAAATGGATTTTTGGAGGTGGGAGATGGCATGGGAGCTTGTTCTATCCACTCTGCGCATCAACCCACTATTGCAGTACTTCAGGGAACTGTGCACCAAAAAACAGAAAAAAAAAAGAAAACTTCCCTAGTTTGGCAAAGGACATAGACATACAAGTTCAGGAAGCACAGAGGATCCCAAACAAGTTGGACCCAAATAGGACCACACCCAGACACATCTTAATTAAAATGCCAAAGGTTAAAGATAAACAGAGAATCTTAAAAGCAGCAAGAGAAAGCAGAAAGTTATCTATAAAAGAGTTCCTATGAGACTATCAACTGATTTCTCAAAAGAAACTGTGCAGGCTGGAAGGGGCTGGAAAGAAGTATTCAAAGTGATGAAACGCAAGGACCTACAACCAAGAGTACTCTCTCCAGCAAAGTTATCATTTAGAATGGAAGAGCAAATAAGGTGCTTTCCACCCAAGGTAAAAGCTAAAGGAGTTCATCATCACCAAGCTTTTATTATATGAAATGTTACAGGGACCTATTTAAGGAAAAGATCAGAACTATGAACAGTAAAATGACAAGAAACTTAGAACATATCAACAACTAAATCTAAAGAACAAAAACTAAGCAAACAAGTAGAACAGGAAGAGAATCATAGATACAGACATCATTTGGAGAGTTATCAACGGGGAGGGGGAAGGGAGAGAATGGGGGGAAATGTACAAGGATTAAGCAGCATAATTGGTAGGTACAAAATAGACGGGGATGCTAAGAAAAGTATAGGAAATGGAGAAGCCAAAGAATTTATATGTATGACCCATGGACATGAACTTCGGGGGATTGCTGAAGGGAAGAGGGTACTGGGCAGTTGGGAAAGGGGGGGAAAATTAGGACTACTGTAATAGCATAATCAATAATATATACCTTAAAAAAAAAGAATCATTTAACTATAGGTTCTCTATTCAATTGCTCTGATCCTGCATCAGTAGCCCACTTAAATATCTTAGTTTCCTGATTAGTCTTGGTATCTGAAGGGCCTAAACCACCCTCCTCCTCTAATTTTTTTTTTATGTCCTTTGCTATTGTTCTCTTCAATAAAAAATTTACCTTGTTTGTTTAGGAAAAGCTTATCAGATTTTTATTGGAATGTAGTTGAATTAATAGATTAGGATGGATTAGGGAAACCTTGATAATTCCATTTTTGCTATGGTATATCTCCAATTTTTTAGTTCTTTCAATGCTTCAATTACGTTTTACAATTTTATTTAAATGTTTTTTAAATAATTTTATGACTCTTAGGATGCATACTTTATTTATTTTATTTTTAGATTTTATTTATTCATTTCTAGAGAGGGGAAAGGAGGGAGAGAAACATCAGTGGGTGAGAGAAACATCCATTGGTTGCCTCTCGCATGCCCCCCAGCCAGGGACCTGGCCCACAACCCACACATGTGACCTGACTGGGAATCATACCGGCAACCCTTCGATTCACAGGCCAGCATTCAACCCACTGAGCCACACCAGCTGGGGCTTAGGATGCATACTTTAAAAAGAAAAAAACATGAATTTCCGTAGATGTAAGAATGCTATTTTTGTATAATTGTCATATCCATCAACCCTCCTACTTCATTCAGTTCTGATAATTTCTAGGTTTTCTCAGTAGATTGGTTATTAGCTAAAGTAATGAGTGTTATTCCTTTCCAAATAATTTTATTGCCTCATTTCTGAATATCGTATTGAATTGAGGCAGTGAGGGTGGGCCTCCTCATCTTAATTCTCACTTTAAAATAAATGCTTCTCAATTGTCATCATTAACTTTTGATATCTACTCTGAAATTTTGTTAGTTACCCATTAACAAGATACAGGTGTTTCCTATTTTTCCTGACTTACAGAGTTTTGTTTTTTAATCACAGAAGGGAGATTTAAAAACAAGGTAGAATGAAAATAATAGGCAACAGTAAGTACAGAGCAAGTTCAAGGCTAAAGCATTCTGAGAATGACCTGTCTGCCAAGTCTCTTGGATTTTGGAAAGGAAAGATATCTGAGATGTACCCGAGTGGGCTTCATCTTCCCAGTTCCCCACTTGGAAAGAGATTTTAAGTTAACTAAAATACACATGATCACAACTCGATCTCAACTATCAAATTGTTGAAGGCTGAGATTTTAAATTACATGAGAATCTCCTTACCTCTGTGTGATACATATGCTTTAAAATGAACATTTATTGAATGCATACTGTGTGTCAGGTGTTACCTAAGCACTTTTTAAAAAACGATTAAGGAAAGAGGGAGGGAGGGAGAGAAAGCAACATTGGTGTGAGAGTAAAACATCAACCAGTTGTCTCTAGTACATGCCCCAACTGGGAACCAAACCTACAACCCAGGAATGTGCCTGGACCAGGAATCAAACTGCAACCTTGTGGAGGGATGCCCAGCCAACTGAACCACACCAGTCAGGGCACTCTAAGCACTTTTTGAAATGACTTGTTTACTTTTTGCAGAACACCTCTGTGAGTAATGTTCTGTTATCCCCATTTACATATGGGAAAACTGGGGCACAGAGAAAAAGTAATTTGTCTTAAGTCATGGGCATTATGTGGCTGAGACTGCTCTTATAAATGTGGTATTGTCCTGCTTCTCCCTTGATACTACAGGCAATTGAGAGCTTCCTGAAGGGGAAGGATTATTTTATTATTCAGTAAACTAATTTTATGAATGACTATAATTGGGAGCCTCAATAATTAGTCCTATAAAATCTAAATAGTGGAGCAGTTTTTGTAGTTTTCTAATTTTTTTCCTTAATGTTTTCCCTTTGTTCTCTCAGGTTTGCCTTCTCACCATTGTCTGAGGAAGAGGAAGAGGATGAACAAAAGGAGCCTATGCTGAAAGAAAGCTTTGGTAGTGATAAAATATATTGTTTATTTGTGCTTTAAATATTCCTTTCTGGTTTTTAAAAATAGAATAAAGTAAATAGAGTTGACCCTGAACAACCTAGTGGTTAGGGGTGCGAACACCTCATGCAGTTGAAAATTCACGTACAACTTTTGACTCCCCAAAAACTTTACCAATAGCCTACTGTTGACTGGAAAGAAACCTTACTGATAACATAAACAGTCATTTAACACATATTTTGTATGTTGTATGTTGTATTCATACAATAAAGTAAGCTACAGAAAAGACAGTGTTATTAAAATCATAGGATAAAAATACAATTATTTTGTTTATTGAAAAAATATCCATGTATAAGTGGACCCACACTGTTCAAATGCATATTGTTCAAGGGTCAACTGTACATTTTGAGTATCAAAATCAAGATAATTTGATATTATTACATTGCTTATTATTTTACAACTATGTATGTGGTGAAGTTAGGGAGGAGCAAAAATAAGAGCATGAATCTTAAGATGAAGCTATGGTAAATTCTATTAATAATTGAACATTACGTGTCCAGGTTGCTTATTAGAGATGAGCTGAAAATGGGGCTTTGAACTTTGCAGCATAAATGTGAAGATGGAGAAACATCTGTTGTATAATTCAGTGTCAGTAAGCTTAAAATAAAGCTCTGAATTCATTTTTGCAATCATTGTTAGTATATTCACATTGTTAACCAATCTCCTTTTTTTCCTTCTACAGAAGGAATGAAAATGAGAAGTACCAAACAAGAACCAAACGGAAATACTAAAGTAAACAAAGCAGTAAGTATGGCTTCTTTTCTTTTTTGTTTGCTTTGTCTTTGGTGGAGCTCAGCAGTTGCGTACAGGCCTGAATGACTTTCTTTACTTATGCTGTAATTAAGCTTACTTTATAAATCTTTTAATATATTACAGTTACATTTTTAAAAACAGACAAAGCAACTGGTTCTCTCTAGGGCTTACTAATCTTTAACTAGATGATTTGCTACTATGTCCTAAAAGGGACCAGACCAATCTGATGGTTTTGTGTAATGGTTTTCATCAGTGAAGTCATAGCTTCATTAATAACCTAAAGTTTTTTTATATTAAAGATCAGATTTTTTGTCAGTATTTTTTTTCTTTTCTTTTCTTTTGTAGAATTGTACATTTACTCTATTGGGTTGGCCAAAAGATTTATTTAGTTTTTTCTGTAAAATGAAAGACACATTTTTCATTTTCACCCATAACTTTATTGATATGGATATTTTGAGTATGTTGGCCATCTCCTATGTGGTATAACGTTGATTGTTTTCTATTACTGTCTCAATTTGATTACTATCAACTTAAGCTCTTCTACCTGACTGTGGAGCATCATCCAGTGAGAAATCTCCAGCACAAACCTTCGCAAACCACTTTTAACACGTTCGATCAGTCACAGCAACTTCTCTGTACACTGCACAAATCTTTTTTTGCATTTCAGTTGCATTTTTTCCTTTCTTGAAATAATAAAGCACGATATGCCAAAAATGTTACGTATTTTCCATCCTCAATATTAAAATGGCTATACAAAAATTCACGAATTTTGATTGTTTTTTTAAATGTGCGCTGATATGACAGCTGTCACAATACAATCGTAATAAAATTGTTTCGAATAAAGTTAAAGACAACTATTTTCAAATGAAGTTAAAGACAACTAAGCACTACCAGAGCCATCTTACAGAAAAAAAACCAAACTTTTTGGCCAATCCAATAAATTAAGCACTTTATCTCAGTTCTAAGGATCTAAGCTTACATGAAGTGTACACTAGGTACTAGACTCTTGAGCAGAAAGCATTTAACAATGTAGGGCATCATTTTATATTTTGGTTATGTAGTTTTTTAAGTTATTTGACTTTGCTGTTAGCAGCCCCATTAATTATGTGAATGTACTACTTCAGAGTGACAAAAGATTAAAAATTTTGAGACCTCTTTAGATTCTTACTCAAGATCTATTATTTTATGCATTTTTAGTAACAACTGGTACTTGTATGTTCCCAGCAGGAAGATGATTTGAAGTGGGTAGAAGAAAATGTTCCCTCTTCTGTGACAGATGTGTAAGTTTTTGAACCATTACTACCAGAATCCTATTTCAAAGTTAATATTACTTTTATGATTTTAATGAGGGAGGGGCAGAGTATACTAATGAGAATGTTGTAGTTAACTTTAGAAGTCAAAGACAAAAAT